AGAGAGAGAGAGAGAGAGAGAGAGAGAGAGAGAGAGAGAGAGAGAGAGAGAGAGAGAGAGAGAGAGAGAGAGAGAGAGAGAGAGAGAGAGAGAGAGAGAGAGAGAGAGAGAGAGAGAGAGAGAGGCTCCGTCCTAAGCTCTTTTTAAAAACAGTAAAAGGAGCGAGGGGAGGAATAACAGAGTGGTAAAGAGGTTTAGGACGATTTGGCAGCCAAAAGCCGGGTCGTACTACCCCAGGTCTTCCCCTGCTCCGCTGACAGAGGCTAAGAAAGCAGATCCCCCCCAAACCTCCCAAAAGATAATAGCCACAGACAGGAAGAGAAAGAGAATTTTTCATATTGAAACCCCTCCGTTTTTTGTTTTTTTTTCTAATCTGGTCTCCGATGAAGTTTCATTGTTTCTCATGTGAAGCCAGTGACAGCTTAGCTGAGATGGAGTCGCGGAGGCATTGTAGCGCGGGCGTTCTCCCGTTTGGCTTGCTGAGAAAAGAGCAGAGAGAGAGGGGGGGGGGGGCACAATGGAGGGTTTTTTGGGGGGCTTCCCCCCCCACATCCGACTGTGCTCGGAGAAGTGAAGAGAGAGAGAGAGAGAGAGAGAGAGAGAGACGGGAATCTGGGAAGCATCCCAACGTTCCTCTGATGGCTGCTGGCCTCTCCCACTCGTCACGTACTCCTCTGTCAGTGGAGGAAGGAGAACGGAGGCCATTTTTTATTCTCGCTTAGCGGAGGCCGAAGTTAATGCAATGCTTGTTCAAGAGCCTTTTAAATTAATTTTATGTGACCTGAAGCCCAAACAGACGCACTAATGTTACACCAACATATCACAAGTACGAGGTACGATAGATAAAGACCAGGTGGTGGAGGTGGAGGTGAGGATTATGCCTCACACTACCTAAAACAACGTATCCTGGTATCTTATGAAACAGTTACACCTCATGTTTCATGCATTTTCTTACTAAAGTCCAGCAACATGTGTCATCTCCTGCTCGTTACATGCATACAGTCTTTTCAAAATAAAGTTCTGTCTTTACAGGAAACAACTGAGTTAGGTTTAGGCAACAAGAATACTTAGTTAGTGGCGCTGCTCAAGTACTGTAGCAACAAGACAAATAGACGATGACTTCTTGTTTCACACGCGGCACTAACAGCGGACTTCTGTGGAGGAAGTGATGCATTGTGGGTCTTGACTGACGTGCTTACCTTTCACTTTTACTTAAAGGGAAACTTCTTCTTTTCCTTGGGTTTTGAGAAATTGCAGGAAATTAAGTAAAAACTAAAGGAGGTAGATTGAGGGAAAGTTAGTGGATCAAAAGAGTTTCTGTGCTGTGTTTCATGGATGTGTTTTAACTCTTTGTTCCTCAGTGCTGATGGGAGAGCCAATCAGAGGAGACCACAGGCAGAGAGCGGTCATGTGACTGTGAGCCCAGACGTGTTCAGGACACTGAGACAAACAGGTGCGTCTGTCTGTCTGTCTGTTGCAGCTTCACCTTAAAGAATCTCTAGAATATGAATGAGCAGCATTTGAAGATGAACGGCTGCTGCTTGAGATCTGATTTAAATCGTTGTTTAAAAAAAAAAAAAAGGAGACACGTCCGACCTACTGAGTGAGCATGTAACCTGTTCAGGCATTCAGCTGTGTGTGTGTGTGTGTGTGTGTGTGTGCTGCAGGGCTGCTGTGTGTGTGATTATGCATGTCTAATGTTTTAGTTGTCGTACTTGTTTAAAGTGTCACGGCTGGTGTGCGACGGGAAACGTCTGACATCCTTCAACATCTTGTCGTTTTCATTTTGTTCTGCAGGAAGCAGCGACGCTGACGCTGACGTCGGGAATGTGAGTCGATTGACCGGAATTTCATTTATAAAGTCACAAGGCTGTGAAAAGTATTATGGAATCATAACATAGTATGTTGTGTAATGTCAGTCTACTACAGTACGGTAGTTCCCAACAATAAAATATTGCGCCACACAAAATTACGTATATGTCAACACTTTACTTTTACATCGCCTCCTTCGTCTTTAAGCACAAAATATACATTTATAATGTAGTTATAAGCAAATATAACAGCGCCTTTAGGTGTTTATTACTACGGTGTTTAACGGCTTTAATCTTCTGTCATAATATTGTTAATTTCACATCTCGATAACACTATATATCACAATTTAGCATGTTTTTCTGGTAGTTTAATACATAGTTTATATGAAATACCCACATGGTAAAGCCTAGCTTTGTGTAATGCTGTGTGAATTAAGTACTTGATAAATGAAAAGTACTTTTCTTATTTAATTAAGAATTTTAGTGTTGGACTCTACGACATTATATCGAGGGGTGTTTCTATTATTTTGTCCTCCTTATTTACAGACATGAGTGGGTCATAAAATCAGAAACAACTCTCAAGATAAAGTAGTAAAGTACATCACCATCACCACTATGACCTGAAACATATTGTTGTATTTGAGGATCGTCGGTAGTGTGTGTGGAAATAATGGACATGAAGGAGCTAAACAACGACAAACATAAACAATTTGACTCGTTTTATCACTTTCTGTCCTCTGCAGACAATATGTGAGGAAAACTATCATGTTTTTGTCAAACAACATGCTATACCGTGACTTTTTTCGACATGCTATACCGTGACTTTTTTCGACATGCTATACTGTGACTTTTTTCGACATGCTATACTGTGACTTTTTTCGACATGCTATACCGTGACTTTTTTCGACATGCTATACCGTGACTTTTTTCGACATGCTATACCGTGACTTTTTTCGACATGCTATTCTGTGACTTTTTTCGACATGCTATTCTGTGACTTTTTTCGACATGCTATACTGACTTTTTTCGACATGCTATACCGTGACTTTTTTCGACATGCTATA